GTAATAGGCATACTTTAATATGTATGTACAGGGTGAGATAAAAAAACTGCAACAAAGTCAAACGCCATTTTTATGCATTTCTTTAAATTTTATTGAATGAGGGCAAAAAATTTCGGAAATAGCATCAACTTTTAGAATAAGTTTAGATTTGTTCGAATTGGCACGAATTATTGCATTCAAACGGCCAATGAAACCGTCAAGTGTTGGTCTGCGTATTTTGGCCCATTCCCAGCGAAGCGCTTGCTTGAGGTGGTCGACACATTGGTATTTTTTAGTGCCAACCTTGCTTTCCAAAATACTCCAGACACAATAGTCCAACGAATTGGTATCCGGAGATTTTGGTGGCCATTGTGCGCTGAAGCGAGGAACCTCATTGTGTAACCATTCTTGGGTGGCGCGTGATGAGTCCTGTTGGAATGACCAAAGTCTGCGGCCACAATGTTTGCGTGCCCAAGGCTTTAATACACCCTCCAGAATATTTTCCGGATAATATTCGGCATTTATTCTGATGCCACGGTCGATTGAGTTCTGGTGATGAACGTGCTGGATTTTAATGCGATAGCCACTTGTGGTTTTCCAGCCAAATATTAGACATATAAAGACATCCTCACCAAAATGCTTTTGTACGTTCGTAAACAATATAATGAGCTGTCACTGGAATAATTTTAACAGCTGTCGGACGAGTGGCTTAGAAATGACAGCAGCCTAATGTTGGTTGCAGTTTTTTCATCTCACCCTGTATATACATCGAATATTTATGGATATTACAAACGCAATGACAAAGTTAATATACCTTCTTTTTAAGGTGGGGTGTATAATAACAGTAAAATCTATTGAAGAATATAGATAAGACTATCCCGAATTTGCCATTATTCCTCAACGTGAACCCAAGGTACAAGGTAGATTCAAATTTATTTACATTTATATTTTTGATAAAATGACAAAAATTCTCAAAAATATAACTTAAGCAAATCCGAAGTAATTCGGTGACAGGAGCGTAATAACAAAACTCTGATGAAGAAGTGATGGAAGACATCCCGAAACTTGTGTAAGTGCATGGAGAGGGGGCACCCAACATAAGTATTTGCTGATGTAGTTAAAACAATTGAAATACCATGGTTCGCCTTCACAATCACATAAAGGCTTCAGGAATCCATATTTTGAGCCTTACCACAATGACATATTCCAGAATTTTAAATAAAACACCAACTCGATTTCAATTTTGTTAACCGTTGCCACATCACAACGACAGCCGTATCTGCGTGCGTTCGGGTTAACGAAATGCAATGCGAGTCTCTGTGAAATTAACATTTAAAATACATTTATTTTCTTTTTTCATTTCATTTCATGAGTGTTTGTGTGTGTGTGTGTTCTTCTGTCTTCTTGTGTGTGTGTGTGTTATTATTTCTTTTTGTTTTTATTAATTCTTTAACAAATCGTATTTGCTTTTTTTTCTGTTTAGTTAAATATTATTTCAATTCTTTTAAGAATTATTACAACAAATTAGTGTTAATGTCATTCATTCTTTTACTCATTTGTCTGTATGTCTGTCTGTCTCTCTGTTCGTTTGTGTGTTTGTTCGTTCGTTTGTAAGGTGTTGCTAAATTTGTTTTTGTTTTTGTTTTTTTTTTTGAAAAATACAATTTTAGTTCGTTTTTGTTGTTGTGTTGCTTGTTTTGCCAACACAATTTTGTGTTCGTTTTTGTTGTTGTTTTTTACTTACAATTCTAATGTATTGTTTTTGTTGTTATTTGTGGTTTTTCTTTTGTCATACAAAACAAATGTTAAAATTTAGTTATTCCTTTTATTTTATCTTGGTTTTGTTTAGGTTTTTTTTCTTTTTGGCTTCCTTCAATTATTGTGTTTCAAAATTAAAACTATTATTGATTCTTTTTTGGTTTTCAATCGTCCATCTATGCATAATTCCATTTTTGTTGTTTTCTGTAAAGCAAAGTCCTAAAAATAATAATTATTTGGTTGTTGTTCTTCTACCATTTGTTTTTTGTTGGAAAATAATTCGTTATGTGTTTTTAGTTTGCTTTGGTTTGGGTTTCAAATACAAAGCCAACACCATCATTTTGCTGCGGGGACAGTTTGGAGGTTGTCTGCCCATTCCCATCCCTTTGGGTTGTTCTACGTTGTTGTCTCCCATTCCCATTCCATTTCATCCCTTCCTGTTCTGTCCTGTCTTGTTAATATCGGTTACACACCATTTAAATGTGGGTGTTGTCAAATGTAGTGTTTGTAGAGGAGTATTTGGTATGAGGAAAAGGGGGGGGGGGGGTTGTCTTCCAAAAATTGTTTCATTTCATTTAGGAGGCATTTCGATGCGATGATCGATTGTTGGAAGATTTGGTTTTTGTTGTTGTTTTAGCTATTTGCCACTGATGTTGTTCACTAGTTCTGTTGTTCACTTTGTACACAACTTACGTGCTAATTTGTTAATAACTTTTATTTGTTTTTTTTTTTTGTTTAATAATAATTATTGTTACAAAATTTGTTTTTGTTTTTCTGTTGTATGCTGATTTCAAGTGAGTTTGCAGAGGATGGCGCATTGGTGGAGAGGGTGATATGGTGTATAAAAAATGTTAAATCCTATTTTTTGTTTCTCTTTTTTTTTCAATGACAACGAAAATTTCATGTTTTCCATCCAAAGAATAAAAACAGCACTCGTTTGATTGCAATGAGCAATAATATATAGGAGGACTTGGTTTTTCATTGCTCAGTTGAGCACTGCTTCTTCTTGGAGGGGTAATATTCGCTTTGGTTGGACTATGAATGGTTTGGATCTGCTGGCTTGTCTCTGTTGCTTGTTGGTTTCATGTACTTGTCAGTCTTTTTGTAATTTTGTTTTTGTTTTCATCAAGCTAAGCCTGTAAGCTGGTTTTAATAGAAAACCCCTTTCAAAATTAACTTCCACAATTTCTAAAATGTAAAGTTTTAATTGTTTTGAAATGCAAAAACCCGAAATATTTGGAATTCAAACACTCGAGATATGCAAATGTCGAAAAATATTTGAGATGTATTTCGAAACATATGAATTGTTAAATTGACAATATCTATTGAAATCCAAATTATATATCTTAATGTTTTTTTAATTTTTATTTGAAGTATTTGATTTGAATTTCGGACAATTCCATTTATTTGTTTTGTCCGACCGTGTTGTTATAATTAATATTTTATGTCTAAAAACACGAATTCCATTTGTGGTTCGAATTATTCCAATTAAAAAATCGAAGTAAAAACGAAGATGATCGTCAAATTTGTGATAAACTTACTTAGTAGTTTTAAAATATTTCTTTTTGACCATGCATTTTGAATTTTATTTTGGAAAAACGATTTTGGTATCGAAAGAAAAAACTAGAATAGAATGCTCTCCATGGAAACTATTGGGAATGGCATTTTGGGATTTCCAGCTTTTGGTAAAATATTGACTTTCTCCTATTTTTTCGTATTTTCTTTACAACGTTTTGTTCATGAGTTACTGTGTGTTTTGTTTTGGAAAATATTTTAAAATAAAATATTTTGATTGTGATTCCTATGAGACACGACTATTTTTTGGTGTGGATGTATGCGTGAGAGTGTGAATGTGTGTGTGTATTATAAAAGGAACTGTAATTCAAACAACCCGTTTATCCTTTGAATACGCTTAACGAACAGTGTGTTGTTATGACTTTGTCTTACCGCTCTCTTTCTCTCTTTTTCTCTCTCTTTGGCAACAAAAACTGCATAATGGCGAAATGAACTGAAATCTGTGAGTGATCGAGTGGAGTTGAGGTCCAAGTTAACATCCACAGCCAGAGCTATCAGTTAAACATGCCACAAATTGAGCCCCTAATATGTGGCACGTTTGTTTGCCCCGTCCCCTCCCACCTGCCTATAGGCTAGAGGGGTAAATGCGAATAGCTTGTGGCTGGAAGATTTTCTTGGAGAATTTGTTGTCGATGTAGTGGTTGTTGTTGTTGTTTGTTAGGTTGTTTCAGAACATTTGGAAAATTACATACACAAATACATTTAACATCTATATACAGATATTGGAATAACGTTTTTCTTTTTTACTTTGTTTGTTTGTCCAAGTTGTTGGTTGGGTTGTAGGTAGAGTAGTATTCTGCATTCATGGTATCCTTAAATTACATTTGTTTTTTTTTTTTTTTATAAATGTATACAATTATTACGGAAGTACATTATTTTTGTTTTAATTTGTTGCATCTTCAATTTAACATTAACAAATGAAAAGTTTCGTATAAAAAATGACGGCCTTCAGGCGAAAACCTCAGTATCCGTAAGTTTATTTTTGTTTTTTTTGACAATTTGTTGTTGTTGTTGTTGTTTTAGTTATATCTTTTGTCATGGAAACTTAATTAATATTTAGTACGTTGCTGTTGTTCTTGTTAGTTTTGCATTTTAAAACTTTTGGGTTTAAAATAACCAAACGTTGGAAAATAATAATAGCAATAATAATAATAATACCTATTTGAGGGGAGTAGTTTTTCTTGTTTAGAACAATTTATGTTTTAGTTTTTTTTTTTTAATTTTTGAAATTATTTTTGTTTGTTTGTTGGTTTTATTCTCCTCTAGTGTTTGGCACAAGAATTCACATTAAACTTCGATATTTACGAATTTGTTTTAATTATTTGGATTTTTTTAAGGGGGAGAGGGAGTTTTTTCAACATAATATGAATTTAGCAAAGTATCCTTGTAAAACAATAATTATTAAAAACAAATATTACATTTCAATGCTTTGTAAGGAGAGTTTTGTTTTTAAAAGTTTTTTTAGAAAGGAATTTTTGTTGTATTTGTTTAAATGTTTTATATCCTAGATCTAAAGGATATTGCTTCAAAATGTGGATGTCCCCCTGGGGCAATCCTATGCAAATTTTGTATTGTAGTCATAATAATAATTATATTATTAATGCAAATGTAAAAATAAAAACAATAATAAAAAAATTGAAGGTCTTCGACCTTGAATATTGAGAACATTAGAATGTCGGGAAAGCAACAAGTGTCGCCTGTTTACGCTATCGTCGACAACGTGGACAGTTGCAGTTTGTTGGCACAGGGCGAGGCGGTTGGCGACGGTGTTGGAACGAACATTGACGATGAACCGGTTTCCGTTGTCAAACTGCGCTCCTCATAGACCCGCTCCTAAATGGGGTTCGAGAAAAAAATGGGTAGATTTGCATTAAAGTGGACAAAGCGTTTTACAGAGACATTTCCAGGGATTGACATTTGTTCGGATCTGAGTACGGGGACTGACTTACATGTGCACGATCGTTTTTGAAACGTTTCCATATGGTCGTCTTGGGTTCCATCGGTGTGCCGTCAACATTGTAGTTGGGATTCGAGAAGGTCAATACGGAACGACTGGATCCGCGTGAGTGTCGTTTGGGTTGTGGATGTTTGGCGGGAGTTATCATGTCTGGAGGAATGAAAAAATAAAAACAACATGTGAAAACCATTTCTTTAGACAAATGTTTGTAAAGTCTGCACCACTACTATATCACCTATAATCGATATTCAGGACAAACAATATTAAATTGAACAAAAGTAAAAGAACATTATTTTTGGTGAATAATGCATTGATGTACTTACAGCCGCTGCGGCTTAAACTTATTTTTTTATTTTGGATTATGCAGTGCAAAACGAGAATTATTAACGATATTCTGAGAGAGAGAGAGAGAGAGAGAAAGAGAGAGAGAGAAGAAACGTATCTAGTCGTTTTTCTCTATCTCAGATTTTGCTATTATAGTCCTCCAAAAATTTGAAAAACTTCAAGTCTAAGGATTTAAGATTTATGTTTTCTCTCTAAGACAAAGTCACGAAGAAGTACAAAAATTGTGACCCCATCAAGACCTACATATGGTGTGTCAAGAAGACTATTTTCGACAACAATTTGACTATAAACTTAGAAGTTTTTGGGCTATTGTGATTTGATTCTCCCTGAATGCTGTCTTTTGACTCAAATGGTTTTACTGGCCGACCTTATATAGGCAGAAAACTAATGAAACTTTGTTTCTATTATTGAAATTGCCAAAAGTTAACGAAACGAAAGTCTAAAAGTCGGGCGAGACGGACTTTATGATACCATTTGCATATATAGTGGAGCTTAAAACATCAAAAAAAAGTTTTTATGTGGAATTTGTGAGAATTAAAATTAAATATATGAGAGGAATATCCTCCTCTGAATCGATTTCTACTAAATTTGCCGAGGCATTTTTGCCTTTTCAATTCGGGCTTATATGTTAATATATTTGGTGTACAATTAACCTGAAATCTTATAAAGATATGTATCAAATCTGAACCGATCTCGATAAATTTTTTCGAAGGCGTTTTTGAGCTGTATTTGATATATTTCCCCGAATATCGTTGCTAAGGAGTGCATGTTACGGCTGCGGAGGACAAATACCAAAATTGAAAGAACATTAAATATGGGAACTATAACTATATCTGAACCGATTTTCTTCAAATTTGACATACTTCTTTCTAGGCTCAATTTGGTCGTAAGTGCTGAAATGGGAACTCGATATAATTTAGCGAATGTATTTCTAAGTTGTATTTGATATATTTCCCCAAATATCGTTGTTACAGAGTGCATATTACGGCTGACAAAAATAACAAATCGGATGAACAATGTATATGGGAGCCTTAGCTATATCTGAACCGATTTCGATTAAATTTGGCATCAGACCTAATCTGGTCGTATGTGTAAAATTCCATACTATTTGGGCTGATTTTACACGTTTGGTGCACAATCAAAAGCAAGTCGGGCGAAGATATATATGTGAGCTTTATGTAAACTTTGACCGATTACCTCAAATTTCAATAGGGTTCGTCAAACAAATTACTTGTGCAAACATTAATCTGTATTGGGAAATAAATGCCCATGTACTTTGTTTACAAAAATACATGGACAGACAGACGGATGGACATACATAAATCGACTCAGAATACGATTCTATGCAGATCATCAAAACTGCAGTACTGAAAAATTGAGATCAGGATATTGTTGAGAGAGTAAATAGAGCATATAAAGAATACTAAACATGTCCTCAATACAATAAAATAATCAAATGCAAATGCAATCTTTCTGAAATCCACCTATCACTCATTCCATGTGTAGTGGTGCAGAACCCAAAGATCAACATTAATAACTTACATATAACAACAGCTATCATTATAAATAGGAATATCAATGCCACAATGGTGGCTATAACAATAACCACTTTGAGATCAATCATCTGCTCCGGTGCCTGGAAATCGTCGTCGTCAAAGTCATCGTTAATACCACTGAGATCAGCCTCGGTCACTTCATCCGTATAGTCTGGCATGGCCTCGTCGGATCGACGTGGTACAAAGAATTTCGGTACCGTCAAACATTCTCGGCCATCTGGACGATCGGGACATGCACAGGTGTAATTGGAGCCACGGAACAGGCACAAGTGGGTACAACCACCGTTATCCTGTGAGCATTGATTCCACTCCTCGGCCTGGCGTCTGCGTGAAACGGCCCGTATGTCCAAAGCACCACTCAATGAGTTGCGAATCTCCACCGGTTGGGTGTAAATCGTGTGATCCTTCAAATGAGACCTGAACACCGATTTGTTGTACCAATCGGTCCAGTATATGTTGTTTTTGAACTGTAAACAAAATATCAGAGGATGAGAAAATCAATTTTCATCAAAACCCCATGGGTGTGTCCGTACCATTGTCAATCCGAATGGATGGGGAGCATATTGGACAATAACCGTTCTTCGCTTGCCATTAAAGTCTGATTGGCCAATATTGTCTTCCAGGGCATCGGCCCACAGCAAACGACGGTTTCTGCAATGAAGAAAACCAAATTATTTCAAATTCTCCACGTTAGGCTTCGATATTCAGTCGATACTTACTCAAAGTCAATCGTTAATCCTGTGGGAAAACCAAGATTATCGCTCAAGATAACGGTACGATTTGAGCCATCCAACAAACTGCGTTCTATCCGCGAAGGTGAGTCCCAATCGGCCCAGAATAAATAGCTGCAATGAAACATCATGGAGTATCAATCAAATAATTACTATTATATAAAAGTTCGTCGTTACACACCCCTTCTTTGGATGGACAATCAGTGACCTGGGATCACCCATGTTTTCACTTATCAGGCGTTTGCGGCAAGATCCATCCAGACGAGAAACTTCGATAAACTTGTAATCCGAATCCGACCAATACAAGTTATCAGCTATCCAGTCAACAGCCAGGCCATTGGGTGTCATTAGTTCGTTGACCACAACTTTGCTGTCACTCAAATCGCGCAAATTGATGCGTCGGATGACGTCTAAGTTCACATCAGCCACGAACATCAAATTCTTCGAGTAGTGATAGTCCAACACAACCGCTCCGTGCACACCGTGTATCGGCAACACCACATCCATCAGATCGGGTGTGTTCAAGGAGATCATGCCAATTCCCGAGCGCAGGGCAATCAACAGATAGTCCTCGGGCATGTATTCACACTCGGTGCTGCTGCCGTTCTTGAGACGCAGGCCAATCGAACATTTACACGAATAGCCGGAGGGATTGCGCAGACACAAATGCGAACAACCGCCATTGTTTCTGCCACAGACATTGTCCGGCAATGTTTTATTGGACGATATGACCTTGATGTCCATGAGGCCGTCAATGTTGGTCATGACATCGCGCCTATTTGTCACATTGCTGCGATCGGCCATGTGCAACGCTTTCGACTTCCAATCTGTCCAGTAGATGTAGTTGTCCGTCAAGGCCAAGGCATAGGGATGCAGCAGTGAAGCCATTATACGTTTGCGATGATTGCCGGAATAATCGCATGAATCAATGGTCTTTAGCTGGGCATCCACCCAGTAAATACGTTTGGCTTTCAGGTCCAACGACAAACCGTTGGGCCATCCCAAGTTTGAGGTGACAATGCGTTGGCGATTTTCACCATCCATATCGGCGCGTTCGATTTTACGATAATGTCCCCAATCAGTCCAAAACAGGAAGCCCGCCTCATAATCCAAAGCCAAGCCGCGTGGTGATTCCAGATCCTTCCATGCAATCAAGTGACGGTGTTTTCCATCCAGAGTGACCACCTCAATGGTGTGACGACCAGCGTCAGCCCAATAAACCTGGAACAGATAACATGAATGTACGTTTTTATTCCCCTCTGGATCAAATTCTGAGTCAAAGTACTCTCCCACTTACCATTCTTCCCACAGAATCCACAACCAAACCATCAGGATTATCAATGCTTTCGTACACAATCCGCCTTACATTGTCACCGTCCGGCGTTGAACTCATTATTATGTCCTCCATGGTGTCAGTCCAATATATTTCACCCGTCTTCAGATCCACGTCCAAAGCCACAGCATTCGAAATGGGTGGCAGTGGCAGCACCACATCGACCAAATGATGAAAATCAAGCGAAATCTGGCGAATGTCAATGCGATGAGCAAAAATGATATACGAACTGGGACCCGACGAACAGGTGTGTCCATCTGCCTGAATGGTGATGCCCACTGGACAGGCACAGGTATAGGACGTCGGATTTAGTAAACACAAATGCGAACATCCACCATTTCCCGAATCACAGGCATTGCGAACCCTTCTGCGTGACCGATGGAATACCTTGATGTCCATTAGGTCACTGGTGTTGGCAATAATCGTGGTGATGTCCCGGCCCGTCATCTTGTCGGCACTGGATACCGATTTGGTGTCCCAATCAGTCCAGTACACACGCGAACCGCTGACATCCATGCCAAAGGGATGACTTAGTCCATCTGAAAGCAATTGTATTTCTAAGGACGTCACCGACAACCTATCAACCCCGGAATAACTCACCTATTAACACCTTTCGACCAGAACCATCAAAGTTGATGTTTTCCAGCACCTTGGTGCCACCATCAACGAAATATAGTTTCTGCTGCTCATAGTCAATGGCCAAGCCATTCGGCCACTTGATGTTGGTCGACACCAAGACCTTGCGGTTCTTGCCGTCCATATGGGCACATTCGATCATGGCCTGTTTACCCCAATCTGTCCAGAACATCAAACCATCCACGGGATTCACAACAATGTCACGGGGCTTTTCCAGGTTCTCCCAAATCAGCAGGGTGCGCATTTTGCCATTGGTGGTGGCCGCCTCGATGCGATATGTTATCTGATCGGTCCAGTACAGTTTGTTGGTCAGCCAATCTAGGGCCAAACCGGCAGGTCCAACTAGATTGGATCTGATTATCTTCTGTTGATAGCTGCCGTTGAGATGGGCTTTGTTGATGGTACTCCTCTCCACATCCGTCCAGAAGATCGTGTCTGTTTCACTGGACCAGTCCAGGGCCACTGCGTGTTTCAAGTTGTCCAATGGAATGATCATGTCCACATCGCCATATGACAATGTCTTCTTTGTGTTCAGTTGTCTTAAACGGATGTCCTTGCGACGAGCCACTAATATCAATTCATCTGGAGCACTGTTGCAGGTGCGGCCATCTTCCTTTAGAGTCAGGCCAATGGGACAGCCACAACGTCTGGACTGCTTGTTGGGCAAACACAAATGGGAACATCCACCTCGGCGACCCTCGCGGTCTCTGGGACAATGATCCTTGTAGTTCGGTTGCCTGGCCGGATGATAGGCATGAATGTCCATGGGGAAATGGAAGTTTTCATGGATCGAGCCAAAGCCCTTGCCGGTGAGTTTATTGGCCGACGAGACGGTCTTTGTATTCCAATCCGTCCAATACATGGTGTCCTCGAAAATCGTCATGGCGAATGGGTGGGGCAAGTGGGTGCTGAGAATCTTCGTTCGGCCCGTTCCGTCGAAATTTGCGCACTCGATGGCATGCTGCCGGGCATCAGCCCAATATAGTTTGCGACTGGGGTAGTCGATGGTCAAGCCATTGGGCCATATAACGCCTTTGACAACAATTGTTTGTCTTTCCGAACCGTCCATAAAGGCTCGCTCTATTTTGGGATTGGGACCCCAATCGGTCCAAAATACAGTCGCCTCTCCTGGATGCACCACGATGGCTCGAGGCTTATCCAAATCGTTCGAAACAATGACGGAGCGTAAATTACCTTCAAAATTAGAGACTTCAACGCGTCTGGTACCCGAATCTGTCCAAAAGAGCAGATCGTGCACCCAATCAACAGCAATGCCTCCGGGTGACTCCAAGCCCCATTTTATAACGTCGCGCATTTGAGTTCCATTCATGTAAACCATTTTGATGGCGTCCGTGGAAATGTCGGACCAAAACAACAAATTCCGTTCGTAGTGATAGTCCAATGCTATGGCATTGTGAAGGCCCTTCACGATGGCCGAATAGCGGTTGTGACTCAAAGAGACCCGTCGAATGTCCCAACGATTTGCCACAATCAGCGTCAAGGGTCCGCCCAAGGCTTTGCATGTCCTCATGTCGGGACGGAGGGCATAGCCACTTTCGCACGAACACTTGAACGAGCCATGGGTGTTTTCACAGATCTGGGAGCACACAGGGTTGGACAGGTATTTACATTCGTCGATGTCGATGCAACTGAAAAGGAAAAAAAACAATTGTTGTCTCCTCTCAACTTTGAAATGCACGCTTCGGCTTACTTTTGTTTGTTCGGGTGCATTAGGAAACCGAGACGACAGGCACATTCACCTCTGCCCTGGGCAGTGGTAATGCATGTATGCTCACACTTGGAGTCCGGTTCACACGGCCTAAAGTGGGGACAGTTCATTTCATCCTCTCCCAAGGGACAGTCACTGTGGCCATCGCAGATATGTTTCTGATGAATGCAGATCCTAGAACGACAAACACAAATTAGAAAATCCACCCTGGCGAGATCGCCAGTTTAGCTTACTTCAGGGTGGTCATATTCTTTTTGGCAGGACAGAGGAATTGACCATCGTCACATTGTAGATGACAGTTGACCTCATCCTCACCGGACGAACAGTCGGGATAGCCATCACACAACCAGGTACGCTAAACAGGAAAAGACAAGTTCAATATAGCCGTATCCCCTTCCGAGCCTGAATCCAACTTACCAAAATACAACGGCCATTGTTACATGTGAAGTCATTGCTGGAACAGGAGGCGACTGTGTCCGTGTTCATGTCGCCACATTCATTTTCATCTTCCCCACCATCACAGTCCTGGTCTTTGTCGCACTTAAAACTCAGCGGAATGCAATTGCCGTCGGCACATTTGAATTGACTGGAGCTGCACTGGGTCGGCTTTTGGGCACAGTTCTCCTCATCACTCCAGTCACCACAGTTGTTTTCCCCGTCGCAATGGAAACGCTTTAGAATACACCGGCCACCGGGACCTGCGGCTCCACCGGCACCACCACGACACTTGAACTCACCCTCGGGGCAACGATTTATTACCGCTGGGCATTTGAACTCGTCCGAATTATCCGAACAGTCTGGCTCTCCATCACAACGGAAGGCAATTGAGATGCAATTTCCATTGTCACAGGTAAAGTGTTCACTGGAACAGCTGTCCAGATGAGAGGAAATAAATAACTCATTCAACATTCCGCCACCACTCAGATTGACCTACCTGGTACGATTACAGTTCATCTCGTCCGTGAAGTCTCTACAGTCATTTTCCCCATCACACACCCACTCCTTTTTCACACAGAAACCATTGTTGCATTGGAACATGTCATCCGGGCATTCGGCAGGTTCGCCACACTTCGTCTCATCCGAATAGTCGCCGCAATCGTCATCACCATCGCACAGCCAGTCTTTGTTGATACATTGGCCCGTCTTCACGCACATGATGTGCATACCACCCTGCTCACACTCCCTGGTGGACATGGCGGATATGTCCTGGGGTACCACACAGTCGTACTCATCCGAACCGTCATCGCATTGAGGTATCTTGTCGCAACGCTGCGAGGCCTGAATACAATTGCATTTGGTGGGGCACTGCCATTGCATGTCTCCGCACACATTGGGACAGTTGCGAGAGGTGCCGTCATTGGAAGCGGCCAGGCGTGCCTCATCGTGCATCAGCGTAATGCTAGGGCGAAAAACTCTCAGCTTGGAATGGAAACCGTTCATGTACACGTCTCGCGTCGAGTCACGACGACTGGCCGAATCTCGGACCGTGTACACGCCACTGCGTGGCACAATCGGCGGATGCCGACCCACATTGGCCGGCAGAAAAGTGGGTGGCTCGTATGAGCCATCATCTATGTTGTGCGGCGGACCATCCGATGGATGAATGCCATAATCGGGGTAGTCTAAATGATCGCCCTGATCATAGTCATCGTACTCCTTCGGCAGCGATTGTTTCTTTTGCTGCCGATTGCTGGTTGTTTGTCGGCCAGTCGTGACCACGCCTCCAGCTGAACGCAGCCGATGGTGCTGCTGCAGTTGTTGCTGATGATAAGCCTCGGCATTGTCATGCGGATAATTGGGATCATCTAGGAAATGTTTTGGTGTGCCATATTTTATTACAGACCCGAAATGATGCAACGTTGAAAAGGGTTCGCCATCATCACCAAGAACTGTAGGTGAAAAGAGGGAGATGGAGAGAGAGAGAGAGAGAGAGAGAGAGAGAGGTAAATGAAGATTATTTTCTATTTTTTATTAATTATTTTATTTTTTCCAGATAATAAGCATTCAATATTGTTCTGCACCATCATTTATTAATTAATTATAGCTTTAAAAATTGCAACTCGATTTTCTCAACGCATGTATCGCATGTATTTTGCGGAACAAATGTTTTCATTTTAGATTTTTCTGAATGATGCTCGATATTATTTTGAACTCCGTTCAAAACGTCCACCGTTTAGTGTTCCCATTTTGAATAATCATAACTCCGATTCACAATATTTATATAAAAAATTAACAATCAGTCGGTTTTATGAGGTTATATGAACAAAAATATTAAGATACGGAAATTTTGAAGAAACTATTTTGATAACCTTAAAATATGGGGATGTGAAAATTCCGTCGTATCTCTCCCTTTCAATTATCAAGGAATCTTATGTAAAAAAGTTTCGTTTTTATCGATCGCTGAATAAAATTATTCCAGTGACAGCTCATTATATTGTTTACAAGCAACTAAAGCATTTTTGTTGAGAATTTTCCAGAAAAAAAGTTATTTGTGATCGAATTCAAGCGTGATAGTGTGATTTCTTTATACTTGGCTGGAAAACCACAAGTGGCTATCGTTAGAGCACTCCAGCATTTAAATGTGAACAAATCTTTTGTATCTCGTACCATCGCTCGTCACCGTGATACGGGTAGCGAAGCCCGACGTTAAGGGAGTGGGTGGAAGATAACAGCTACATTAGCATAAATGGTTCGAAAAGCAAGGAAGCGACTTGATCGAAACCCGCGTCGCAGTGGCCGAAAAATGGCTCGTGAGCTGAACATATCGCAATATTGGATTCGGAAAATATTGAAAAATGAGCTCCGGTTAAAGCCAAAAAGTGCAATAACTTACACCGCAACAGAAAGAAAATAGACTCAAAAGAGCTGAAGTGTTGCTTCGCTTGGGCGAAAGTGGTGAACTGCCGAATTTGGTTTTCTCCGTCTCCGATGAGAAAACGATCGTTGTCCAGCAGTTTGTAAACAAACAAAATGTTCGTGTTTACTTGCCCAAGAGGTCAGCTGAAAATGTGCACCTTCGGCTGGCCACCAGTCGCCATAGCAGCCGATGGTTGCTCTCCGCTCGTATTAATCGACCGTGGCATCAGAATAAATGCCGAATATTATCGCGAAAATTTTCTGGATGGCGTATTAAAGCCTTGGGCACGCAAACATTTTGGCCGCAGACCTTGGACATTCCAACAGGACTCAGCACCATCGCACTCAGCACGCGCCACCCAAGAATGGTTACAAAATGAGGTTCCTCGCTTCATTTTCAGCGCACAATTGCCTCCAAAATCTCCAGATACCAATCCGTTGGACTATTATATATGGAGTATTTTGGAAAGCAAGGTTGGCACTAAAAAATAAAATGAAATTCCTCAAATGCTACCGTAACTCAATTGTTATCTTGTCGATGGATTAATAATCTTGGTGTTTCCTTTGAGACTTTTCAGTACTTTTGAAAACTTTAAAATATGCAGATGTGAAAATCTTTGTATCTCACCCTTCCAACTAACAAGGAACCTCATGAAAAAAGGTTTCGTTTTCATCGATTGCTGAATAAAATTGTTGAGTTCCCGCTCAATAAAATGTTGTAATTTTTAATTTTTTTTAATCTTAAGGTAGAAGCTTCTATAAATCCTGCATTATATCAACCAAGAGTGTTGTACCATATTGAGCCATTTAAGTACTATTTGTATCCTTTTTGTACAAGGTTTTAAAAAAAGGAAGCTTTTTCATCCACTTGAAGAGTGACCCTCATGCCAATGTTCAAGGATTTTGCTTTTCCGATCTTTTCGTACTCTTGAAGAATGGATTTTACAAAATACAGATAATAATGACACAATCTTTTTAATACGTCCCCCACTAAGGTCAAAAGTCATATAAGCCACCTTAAGTGAAAGGGTGGCATCGTCCCTGCACCGAACATACGTCGGGTGATTGCTTCCTCCTGCTTTTTCTTTAAAATTTCCGGTTTCATATTTGTTTTATGATTTTCTAAAAAGCCACTATTTACAATAAAATTAAGCCGATGCCGGTTGAAGTATCCGAGTTAGTTTAAAAAATTAATAAACAACATTGTAATATCGATGAAGGGTGTGTAAGGTATCCTTCCTCCGAGTTCTGTTGCAAAATTCACAACATTCGGGAAATTAACAGATGTCTTACATGAAAATCGAATCGAAATAGTTTAAGTCGAGTACTCAGACCAAGGAGACAATAGAAAAAATTTCAGATTCTTGTCAGTTATATATTTTCTTTATTATCCATTACATAGCACATTCAGTGATACATGATCGAACGAAATTTTTATTTGTATTTGAAATTTTGAATTTGGAATTATTTACAACTACAGAGGTGGATGTGGTGTAACATATAAATCCCGAGTGAACACTTTTGTACATACACCAACACATCCATGTGTATGTATCTGTCACTTTAATGTGACAAATTTCAAAGTCATTAAGTACGTTGCAAAAGACGAGTCTGTCTACAAATGTTGGATTCGTTTTCTTCTTCCATTGATTCTCCATTCGCGTGGGTCTGTTAGTTATTTACAACAACAGAAAATTAAAAAAAATCTAACAGGCCGAACAAATTTTACGAATTATACGACCCTCAAATTGAGAGCTAACTCTATTCTAACGAAATTCACACACACACACGTCAATACATTTTTACACGATTTTCATAATTATGTTTGGTCGTATGGGTGGAGGTGTTGGGTATGATTTCGCTTAAAGTTCAGTCGAACTCATTTGCGAGAGCAGCATTCGGAGCCGGAGCAGAATCACGTAGTCAATGCTACTCCTGTCGTGTATATAACAGTAAAACAGTGAATAGGCAAAGTTCGTTCGTATTTACTTCGGCTGTGTTGGGAGTCAACCCTAACCTTACACTCTAAATTTTAATGAATGAAAGACAAAAAGCTCTATTCATCAATTGCCGATGCCCGTCTGTCTGCGTTCGTGTTCTGCATACGTTGGCTGGTGTGCGTATGTGTGTGTGTGAGACTACTACTACAACAAGTCAAAATGAGACCAACACCAAACATACACTCAAACATTATCATGAATAGACACAAAACGTATTTCTATGCATGTACATTGTGCAGGAGTGAGTGTGTGTGTGTGTGTATGTCCTTTGGCTCACTAAACAGGCAGCTGGATTTACATCTCATTCATCTTCACGTTAAATGCTACAGCGCATGAACGTTTTTCTTTTGAATTTTCTTATTTTTGCTTTCTGTTTCTTTTCCGTCTTCTTCCGTACATACACACACACATACAAACAACAAGTAACAATTTTGGCCCAAAGGTTTATACGTTTTTTGTTGTCGTGTCGGTCGAGCTAGGAAAATACACGAATGAATGCGTGTGTGAGTGTGTAGGTATGATACTGAAGTTGTTGCTTTTGTATTTCTTTTTTCTCAGACTCATTTGGCTACATGGCATGCTTGCACTTCGAACGAGCTCCTTGATTACTGTTGAGTAAATCAAAGATACCTACAGCATCTAAGGAGACTCAGATGAAAGCTCCAAAGCTTTAAAATGTTTGGAAAGCAAGAGAAAAGGAGACTGAGAGCCAGGAAATATTGTGAAAGCCCAAAGAGAGTTGCCATGTAAATTTGAGTACTAAAAGTGTAATTCAAATTGTGTTCAGAATAAATTGCAATACATGTTTGGTTAATTTCACATCTAATCTACTTTGAAAATATTTTGCAAAGACGTTTTCACTTTACTAAAGATTCCAAAATATTTAATTACTCTCACTTCGGCTAACATCGTGGATCAATGCAGCGATTTTTTGAAACCCATGAAATAGTCAATTGTTCTATGTCAAATCTCATTTATTTACTGTTAATATTTATTATATTCAGAAACCAGAAAAATCAAATAGTTTTTAAAATTTTCGATATCGTAAAGGAAATATCGTTAATAGAATAACATTTTTGCATAGGTCAAAAATATAGGAAAGTATTGGAAACTTATTATAAAATTCTACAATACATCATCTTTAGGTTATTAAGACTCGATATGTCAAAATATTTGAAGATGTTCCTGAAGAAAACATTTACTGGCACCCAAGCAATTTTTTTTTGCAATCTCTTTTTAAAGAAATAACTGTTTCTTTGCAACGTTAGACATTTTATACGACAAAAATGAGCCGCATTGAGATAAGGCCTTAAGCCCATACATCTCTTGGGATAAAATTTTAAAAAAAAATTAGCATGTTGGCTCATGCCTAAAGCGTTCGTTATTATATGGAGGCTGTACGAAAATGTAGACAATGTACTCGACTTTCATATCTTTCATTTACCAATATGATCTGAAGTAGTAACATTCTTTTTTACATGAAGTTTGACATAAATCAAAAAACACTATACTGAATTTATGAAAAACTTAAACACTTCAAAACCTACTTGATCTAGCTGAGAAGTTTATCACTGATATGCCAAAAAATTGTATCTGTATTTATATAACTTTTTGTTCAAAAATCCTTTTAATTCGTGAAATCACATCTTAATTAAAATGGTTTTTCTCAAAACAATTTTTTTAGATGTGTCACTCCTTAAGCGAATAAGCCATACATGTAGCCGTCTATCTAAAAAGAAAGACGGACATCACAAATCACCTTTGAATTTATTGCTGATTTATTGCAATTATTTCGAGGTTTTACAACCAAAAATGAAGTAAATGTACTGTATGATGGAGGATAAAAAAACCATATGTCTCATATGAAGCGAAGGGAACACCTGATGTAGCCCAAACATATTACTTATTACTGTGAGTTTTAAGTCAGATGTGAAATTAGCAACTTCCTCAAAAATGGTCAATATTTTGAAAAATCATTAATTACCTTAATTTGAAGCTAACGGAATCCTATACAAAGTGTTAACATTGGAGAT